TGTTATGAATATTTTCAAATGGAATTAATATATATAAGATTTGTTTTTTCTTTTTTTTTCTTTTTTTTTCTCTTTTTTTTTTTTTTTTTTTTTTTTTTCTTTTGAAAGTTAGGTTAAGAAAGTAATAATACTAATGAATTTAGTCACAGTTATCAATGTTTGTCATTGTCATCCGGTACTAATCAATTTTGTTTAGATTAAGGAATATATATATATATATATATATGTGTGTGTGTGTGTGTATGTGTGTATGTCAAAGGATAAAAGGAAAGGCAAATTTGTCATGATTTCATTTACCATTCGAAAAAGATCCATTGCTCCCTTTTTTTTTATTTATCACTTCTACGATTACTTATCTTACTCACATTTCTTTTTCAATATTTTTTCTCAGGCACTATCGAAATAGAACCCTTTGTGGAAATGAAGAATAACTATCCAACATAAAAGAAGACGAAGTTCACGGTACACGCGTCCCCTTTTCTACTGTTTGGATCAACTTGAATCAATTTAATGAATATTTATGTTACCTTGATTTTTCGAATCTCAAGAGTCATAGTTCTCAGGATCAGGAGCGTAGAAATGCATTTGTGTGTTTTATTTTTTTTTATTTTTTATTTCCTTTTCTATATAATGATAAGCAAAATTAAATATAACCTATATAAAAAGAATTCAAATTTATTATCAACTTATACGATATAATCAATTAAAAAAGAAGAGTACATTTATAACATATAAAGCATATAAATTTCCGAGCTACTAAAAAACTAGTTACATAAATATATATATGTATATATATACGTATATATATATATGTACATATATATATATATTTTAATATGGAGTTTAATTAATATTATAATACTAGTTATTATTATTTTTACGAATGTATTGCAATATTTTCCATTGGTTAAAATGTTTATATCGATATTAAGAATATTTAAGTAAAATAATAAATATATTCATATTTGTAAATATTCAAAAAATAGAACAACAGTAAGTAATTTATATATTATTTTCTTTAATAATATAATTTTATTTTTCGTACAATACAATTTATATACAACCTAAAAAAACGTATTACTTAAAAAATAAAAAAAACTAAAAGATTTTATTTTGAAGTAAAATAACAGTAAATAAAAATTACAATGATGTTGACTATCTATATATTATGTTTGTAGTTCGTGGATTGCCCCACCCCATCGCGTGGTGATCGGCGGGCGGGCGGCGGCCATATTATTAGTGAGGTGTCAGTATTTTCTCAACGTGACGGGATTTTTGGGTGTGGATCGCACAATTTCCCGTCGTTCCTTGGTAGCGTGCATTAGTGCAAGTGTAAGTGCGACCGGTCCACCGTGAATGTGTGGTACACGTGTCAAAGGAACACCCTCTAACATAGAGAAAACAAGTAAGTCGTCGTTTGTTGCATCGTTTGAGAATATAAGCAGAGAGTTAACGGATGGGAACAAGGAGAGTAAGAGAAAGATAGAATGTATGCACGTTGAAAATCATCGAAATCATTGATCGTATCAAATCGATAATATCTCACGGTCCAAATGATTTCAGTGCAACAAACCGTACGACTAATCATTCTCTAACCTTAAAACACACGATCGGCGTTTAAATCGTCCAAAAGAATTATATACATATATTTTCATCTATTTCAAGGCTATTCTTTTTTAATGTTTTTTCTTTTCTCTCCCTCCCTTCCTTCCTCCCTCCCTCCCTCCCTTCTCTCTCCCACTCTGTCCTACAAAACACGTGTTTTAAAAGCAATTGAGTATTTTCCTATATACCAAGGACACCACGTCCCTCTAAACAATCTTTAGAATCATTTCAATAGGTATATTATATTAGATAACGTATATACTTTTAAGTCGTAAACATATCGGTCGAGTATGTTAGTCGACAAGGTGTTTACAGGGTCGACTAGATTTTTTTTTTCCTTCAACCAAATGAATGGCCACAGCGTTTTCTACATTTTTACACGAATTAATCTTCAGTCGAATTTTCGAGGTTAGATATTTCGGTGTATGCGCCTCTGTGTGTGTGCGCGTGTGTGTGTATGTGTGTGCATGTGTAAACAATATTTTATAAAGATACATACGAATACAAATATTATCTATTTCCTCTTTTACGTATCATGTGTAAATTCGAAGTAGGATGTATGCGTGGGTTCTGCATATAATTACTGAATGTTCTTATAGTACGCTTCATCAACGCTCGTGCAATTTCATGAAATTATAATTATTCGTATGGTATAAATCGTTTGAAGAAATTTTTGACAAATTCTATTTTTATATGCTCGACGTTTGCTATCATTTTTTATTAGCTATAACTTGTTTACTCATTGATATACGAGTTTCAAGGATACTACTGTTCAGTAGTACAATAAATTTCTCCATTCGATTTTCGAATTCGGTTTCTAATTATTAGAAAGTAAGAATCTTACGAAATTGAAAACGTCATATTATCATTCCCATCATCATTGTCGTCATCGTCATCATTGAATAAATTCTTTGTATTTAACATAACCTCCTAGTTTTTTTTATTATTGTTAAAAGATTTACGAAGCAATCGATAAAGCGGAAAATATAAGTGTAACTTTTATACTATTCCTATAAATATCTATAAATAATAAAAAAAATAAATAAATAAAAATTAATTATAAATAATAAAAAGAAATATATATGCATATAAAAGAAAAAAAAAATAATCATCGATTATTCGTCCACGTTACTAGAGACTATTTAATTATACGAAAAGAAAGTAGGATACGTCGTTAAAAGATTTATGTATGTCTCTGTTGAGACTATAACAGTTGGAAAACGAGAGAAGAATTTGAAAAGGTGTACGATTCCAATGTACATGTGTTGTATTTCATCGTTAAGAGATAGGAATGAGCATATTACGTCAATGAGCGGCCTTGAAAAGAATGATCAGGAGGATCCTACGATGTCGTATTTGATCGTCGAATTTTGTACGAACGCATTCGACGATGAAGTTAGAACGGAAATGTTACACAAATACACGTACACATGTATGTTAGCGCGCGCCCACGACACACACACACACACACAGAAGTACATGCACAGGTAGTCACGTTGTTCGATTTTCAAAGTGACGTCACGTTAGGATATTTTTTAAAATCGACCAATCAAGTTTCAGGATAAATTCCGTGAGATATTCTTTCATATTTCATCTCTCTTTCTATCTCCCTTTTTTTTTTTTTATACGGTGTAAGAATCGAGGCAACGAACATCGACTTTTTGTTTTCCATTTTTTATCTTTCTTTTCTTTTCTTTTTTCTTTTTTTTTTTTTTTTTTTTTTTTTTTTTCCTTGTTATTCAAAGCTTGTCGAGCAAAGCTAAGTATTTCCCCATGAGACAGCAACGGATATAAGTTTTTATTAATAGACAGACGCTTTCCGTCGTCTCGTTATGTTCGGCTTCATCGTCGAACGAATATATCCAACGTACGTTGGAGTTACAGATATTTAACGTCAACGACTAAAGTAAGTAGAGATATCGTCGGTTCAACGAACGTCGACAGTCCTAGATAAAAGGGGAATGCTAGACGTGGAGAGTGCAGGCACACCTCACTCTCAGCCGGTGGATCTCGGTCACGCGGATTTGCATTATAACTTGTCCTTTCCTTCCAATATGGTGACTCGTACATGCATACATACATATATGTGGTGCCCTAGCACCATTCGCAGGACCGTACCTATGCATTCTTTTCGCCTTCGTCTCCTCTCTTTCCCTCTCTCTCTCTCTCTCTCTCTCTCTTTCTCTCTCTCTCTCTCTCCCCCTCCCTCTCTCTCTCTTCTCTATCTCTATCTATCTAGCTTTTTTTACTCATTTATCGTAATTGAACATTGAATATAGCTAGATGTAGCATGACATTTTTCTTTTTATAAGATATCTCTTTTTTACTCACATTATTTATATAATATTTTTGTTTCAGATTAAAAACTTTATTTCTTCGTTCCTGTAAGAAGAAAAACACAAAATCACCATGCCGAAGTCGGTATGTGTTCTATATCAATTATATTGATATCAGAAGTACTATGGAGATATTTTTCAGAGATAATTGTTTTATATTACGTGAAATATTTAAATGAATAGAACATTTTTGTATGTGTATATATATATGCCTTCTTTTTTGTCATGACTTTGAATTTGCTACTACAGCGAAATGTTAATTGCTGTATACGACAAACCGTGCGTGGATTTGGCAGGAAACGTGAAAGAGGAGGAGACGTATATTATCACACCTTTTATGTAAATTATGCAGGCTGGTATCGTTACGAGATCGAATGGAATAGAATTTAAGCGAAGGACGAAAGAAAAAATGGTTTTTTCCTCAGGATCTTCTTTTTATATATATATATATATATAACGTTTATACAGGGTAGGATATTTAAATGTGACTGATTATTTATAAGCAAAAAGAATATTGAATATTTTTATTTGAATAGCCCGCCCCTGTATATACGTGAATATTTATATATATGCCTAATATACCAATGAACGAAATATCATTTGAAATCTTTTCTCGTAAGGACGATTACGTAAATCGTTTAACTATCCCTTAAATGCACGTCAAATTATAATTCTTGTAACATCTTTAAAGAAGCTTACGAACGAAAAATTCATCGTTTCATTTGACACACCGTGTATTACCGGGCTCGATGGTGATTGGTTGAATGAAACGAACCGGCTTCTCACGTGACCACCTTCTCTCTCTCTCTCTCTCTCTCTCTCTCTCTCTCTCTCTCTCTCTCTCTCTCTCTCTCTCTCTTTCTCTTTCTTTTCTCTCACATCCCCCTTCTCCTTACTCGAGTTCGCAAACTGATGCTCTTATCTTAGGTTAGGTCGTAGAAGGGGAAACGAGTGAACGATTGAGTGAGCGAGAGAGAGAGAGGGTGGGATGGAAAGAGAGAGAGAGAGAGAGAGAGAACGACGCTGATCGTATGAAAAGGTTGAAGAGTGGGAGAAGGAAAGACGCTGCCGGCTGTATTAGGCCCATTGTTCCAGCAACAACCAACGAGAACGGAACAAAAAGCGCGAAACGCGAAATTGACGACGCTTTCGCCACGTACGCATTTAAAGCGAATAATACCGATCATTCTATATTTGCTGTGAACGTATACAAGAATTTTTAACATTTAAAAACTTTCTGCGTGATTTTTCGTATCTTCCAGTATTTTTTGTGCGTAGTAAAATCGTACTGCCAGATCCAGCGTCATGGTTGCCGGTACAAAAATGGTAAGCCAATTTAGTATTGCGATTATTTTATGATTATATTCTTTTATGGGTATCGTCCTTTGCGTTTTTTTTTTATATACATTTCTAATTCTTTTCTGATTCTAATTTTATTTTTGCGATAATGTATTATCGCGTTATTAATAAAGTATTATCGCGTTGGATAAGAATAAAATGTTAAGAGAAACAAATAGTATATATATATATACATATATAAATATCTATTGCGATGTTATTGCAATGTGCGTGGAATTAATATTGTTAAAAACAAGTATGTCATTCTGAAAACCGTCAAGGTCAAATTTCAAAGATTTATTTGTAGCCTTCAACGTTCGGCGTCTCTCGACTTATTATCGTCGTCCTTTGATTCACATATATTCTAACTCTTCATTTTTTTTTCTTTTTGCTTTTATGTTCTATCTGAAGATGAACGTCAGGGTGACGACGATGGACGCCGAGCTGGAGTTTGCCATCCAGCAGACGACCACCGGCAAGCAGCTTTTTGATCAAGTTGTTAAAACAATTGGTCTCCGTGAAGTTTGGTTTTTTGGCCTTCAGTACACTGACAATAAGGGTGATCTAACGTGGATCAAATTGTACAAAAAGGTAGGACAACCATTCTTTCTTGTATCATTAATCTTTTACATTGATTAGGAACGATGTCATCCAAGTTCTTTTTTAGCCAGATAAAGTGGTACAATAGGGAGATGTATATTTGTATTTAGTTAAATGTAGAACGATTATATTTAATTGTACTTAGATATTGAGCTTAGTATTAGCTATTTAGCTCATTCATTCTATAATAATTAATACCATTCACACTGTCATTATATAAACTTTTTATATAAATTATTTCAGAGTGATTGATAAGAAAAACTTAACTCTCATACTATAAGTTCTGTAACTATTATTATGCAGAGTATTACAAAAAACTTATCTGAAAAATTCAATTCATTCTATCAATCTTACTGTTTTATTATTATACTATGATAATATATAACCAGTTTGGATCAAGGAACGTCTTTTAAATAATTATAAGTATATACGGTCTTTCAATAATAATGAGCACAGTCTCTCTTTCTCTCTCTTTCTCACTCTCTCTCTCTCTCTCTCTCTCTCTCTCTCTCTCTCTCTCTCTCTCTCTCTCTCTCTCTCTCTAGAAAACCATAATTGGATTCCCGTCGTTTCTGTGATGGCAGCGAGAGAGAGAGAGAGAGAGACAGAGAAAGAGAGAGAAGTATCGATGACGAAGAATGACGTCATCTGCGTGCTTGTTCACTCGCTTTTTTCCTTTTATTTTTTTCCTCGATTCGTATAAAACATCTGCCTTTATGGTCTTTATAGACGCGTATGCGTACAGAAACACACTGTTGACCTTTTTTCTTTTTCTTTTTTTATGACGCGTTAAGCTAAAAGAAGAAAGTATTAACTCATAAAAAGATATTGTTATGTTATATTAACAAATTAATTATTTTTCTTCTTCTTCTTCTTCTTCTTCTTCTTCTTCTTCTTCCTTTGATCGTGAGAAGATATTAATAATAGAAGTATAAGAAAAGGATACGTCACGCATGGAGAAAACATCAAATAAATTTGTTCCCATCGAATATCATCGTTAGTCACCTCGAAGGATTTTTATAAGTATCTTGAAACATGTTATTCGCCTTTTACGACGACCAGTACGCTTTCGTCCACCATCCAATAATCCCTTCGTCGTATTATATTCAAGAAATATAAAAGAAAAAAAATAGAGCAAGTTCGTCGTGATTATATTTTGAAATTTCGCGCTATAATTACAATACATATATATATATATATATATATATATATATATATATACATATCATATATGTATATATAGGTTATGTCACACTAGTCAATAGTATGTTTGTCGTATAATTTTCCTACTTTACATATAAAATAGTTTAGAAATTTTTACGATTAAAAAAAAATTTTACGACATCCATATCTTTCGTCAATATTATATTAAAAAGTAAATAAATGTATGAGATTCAATAAAAAAAAAAAAAAAGAGTTAATAGATTGCATTATACTGTTACTAGTCTCACTCGTATGACTCTCGTAGTTCTTCTTTACCATTAGATTTTAAGCATATAAAATTGTTCGTACAGATATCGTCTTTCTTTTGTCGACGTTCGCAAATATCATATTCGAAGGAAGGAATAGAATACATCGACGATAAGTTTCGTGTACAGTTGCAAAAATATGAGAAGTATTCGGTATTCGATCGATGAACAGTTACAAGGAAAAGGTATATTATATATATATGTATGTATATATATATATATTTATATATACACACTTGCACGTATACACACGCATAGTATAGACTCTCTTCTTCGTATATAAAAAACTCAAGGCTTTCACCAACCTGTTGAGAAGTCTCGATCCTTCTGTCTCTTCTCTTCATTACGTATTCTCTCTCTCTCTCTCTCACTCACTCACTCACTCTCATTCTCTCTTTTTCTCTTTCTCTTTCTCTTTCTAATGCACGTGCGTGTACGTGTACACACGTATCTTTTTATCCGGTTTCACATTTTTTCTTTCTTCCTTTTTTTTTTCCACGACAAAAGGCGACCTGCCCTAGAGTCTTCCGGCACAACGGCCAACCCACTTTTCTAAGCGTCGATTCTAACTTGGGACAGGAAGCGGAAGGTTTTCGTGTAGTACAGGTGGTTTAGTCTCTTCCGTTTCTATTTTTGTATAGTTTCAATCTTCTAACAACTAAATATGTACACATATATATATATATATATATATATATATATATATACACATACTTGCTTGCCGAGCAAAAGAGTATATATAAGATAGAATTATTAGTGAAATATTTGTAATATTAAGACGACATTAATGTAGAATATATTAGCATACATAATTATTATTTTGACTGAAAAATTTAATTTATACTCTTTTTCTTGTATATAAGACTTCATTATATATATATATTTAATTGTAAAATGAAATATATATATATATATATATATATATATATATATACAAATTTTTTTATATCGTCAAGAATAATAATCATTGCTAGAATAGATGAATTAATCTTAGAGAGGAACTTCTTTCAGACACTTTTATCTTATCTGTGAAATATTAATTTGTCGCTTGAGTGAGAGAGAATATTTCTCCTGTGAACAATTTTTATCATGGTCCAGCGAAATTCATATCTCTATCTATAAGAAACATTTGTTGTATTAGTTAAATTTATTTTAGGTTATCTTTATATATTCATACAAAATTGTTTATGCCATAGTCGTATATATCGTAGTTATATCGTCATTATTCTAATTAACATTTTTATTCCATAAATAATGTAACTTAACGTAGATACGATGTTAAAGATTAATATGGCGCGAAATACAAAAAAAAAGAACAAAAAATCCAATCACTTCAAAGAGCGTTTGATGTCATCTCTTTTATATACGTAGATCAATAAAGGTATATTTGCATATTGATCGTGAATAGGAGCACCCTTAATAATTAACAAACATATTCATCGAGATTTAAAGTAAACTCTCTTAAAGTACGCATCGATTAGATATGCTAATTATATTATTCCGTAATATTGTAGATAACAAAATGTATTGTTGCATTAGAGCGATATAGGCTATTAGCTATTCTTATCTCACTCTCTCTCTCTCTCTCTCTCTCTCTCTCTCTCTCTCTCTCTCTCTCTCTCTCTCTCTCTCTCTCTCTCTCTCTCTCTCTCTCTCTCTCTCTCTCTTCTTTCTTTCTCTTTTTTTGCCTGTAGGATCATAAATGATAAGAGACATACATGAATTAGTTTCAATTTTCCTTTCTTCATTAAAAACTCTTTAGATTCGCTTGAAGTAACACTCGTCTTTCATCACCTGCCAAAAAAAAAAAAAAAAGAAAAGAAAAGAAAAGAAAAAAAAAAATTGCTTTTGTTTGTAAAAATTGTAGTAAAGCTCTCTCGTAAAGAGATTTACAACGATCTCTCCAATTCTGAAATCTTTCATGATCGGTCGATCGATTATATGCAGCCGGAAAGTGCAATCACGAGAGTCGTCAAGAAGGAAGTAAAAAAGAAGGTACGAAAGTTAAGAGGCTACTCGGACTCTGACACCGATGACGACGAGTTCGAAGACGATCTGGTAAGCCGAGTATCTTAAAGAGAATCTCTCTTTCTCTTTCTCTTTTCCCCGAGATATATATCCTGTTGATACAGGAAATGTAAGGAATATAAAAGGAAATTAAATGAAAGAGAGAAATCGTCGACTTTCTTTCTTAATGAAATCATTCAACGAGTAATATAATTCACATTCGAGCTGAGCTTCTTCGTTATTCGAACCAATCAGCGTTAAGATTTTTCGGCGCTAATTTTTTAAATAATAAAAACTCGAAGTACTCTTTTACACATTGTTTTTAAACAATATTCTCGTGATATAGAATTAATAGAATAAAAAGAAGAAAATGAAATAAAAATAATAATAATAATTTATAAATATACAAGGTGAGGAGGCCAAAAGTTTATAGATTATTTTTTACAAATCAATTATTCTTCCTCGAGAGATTATTTTTAGGTTAACTTTTTTCTTTCTTTTTTTTTTTCAGGATTGTAAAACTACAAGCTTTAGAAACTTTTTTATGATCTATACTTTTGGCCCATCCTGTATATATATATATATATATATATAGTTATATATATATAGTTTGGTATAACACACGTGGCTAAGGCCAACCGAACAATTCTCCTGGCTACTCGTGCAGATAATACTTGTGGCCTTTCCAAGGTGCTTCGTACTTTACTGGAAACGAACGGCAATGAGTGTTATGCAAATAGGCAAGGACTGGTTCTTCCCTCAGCATCGGCTTCTCGAAAGAAGAGAGCCTCATGGTCTATCTTCTTCTTCTTCTTCTTCTTCTTCTTCTCGTTCTTCTTCTTCTTTTCTTCTTCTTCTTCTTCTTCTTGTTCTTGCCTACCAATGGTCACTTCCTCGAATGGTTTAAATGCTGAAAGAAAGCTTTTACCTTTTCCATTTCAAAGGATTCCCGAACGTCGTTTCCTTTATCTTTAGTTTCCTTCAAGGAAGAAGAGTAATATTAATAGTTCTGTATACTTCTTTTTGAAATATTTTCTATTAACAGAATATGATATATATATATTATATTATATATTATTATATATTTATATTATATATATATATATATATATATATATATATATATATAAACATTTTCATGGTGTATAGAGATTTTATTTTTCTCTAATATGATTTAGAAAAATATTACTATACACTTTCAATGTATGCATGTTATATAATATTATATATATTTAATATATTATAAACTTTTTATGAAGTTTATAGAAATATTGTTCTTTTAAAATATTGCTATACACTTTCAATATATGTATCTTTATTCAAATCAAACTAGTTCAGAGGAGGAACGAACGAAAGCTATAAACGAGAAGTGTATATAGCTTTTGCTTATCGTGGTAGTATAGTTCTGCGATAAAAGTCGATACACGCTAAAGGGGAACAATGATTTTGCGCGACGGCTTCTATTGTTCTTGATTTTTCATGCTATTATATAGCAAAGAGATTATTTTCTACGAAAGGATTATAATAATCGAATAACTTATATTTTTACATTATATTAATTTTATAAATTCTTATTTTAATAACTTATTATACTTAATATTTCCACTTCTATATATAGAGTGGAACTCAAAGGTACCAAGGTTATTTGATAAACCAGTTGCTCTTTTACGTGACTTTTTAGATTAAAAAAATTTCTTTTTCTTTTTCTTTTTTTTTTCCTCGGATAAAAAAAGTCTCCAAAAAAAAGTATTGATTTTTATTATCACTTAGGAATTTTTTTACTCTATATAATTAATTCCTAGAAATTAATTTCTAGAAATTAATCTCTCTCTCTTTCTCTCTCTCTCTCTCTCTTTCTCTTTCTCTCTATTTCTTATGTTTGTTTTTTCTTTTCTTTTTTATTTCGACTATTTTATAACTAATTTCGTTTTGCTTTCTTGCTTCGTTATACATGTTAATCTTTTAAACGGGTGAGGTCACTTATGTACACAATAAATGTGGTATTTTGCGTGAATCACGAGACCACTCTTATATCCGTCGTTACAATTGCTCGCTTAGGAAATACTACGAATAGTTTGTATTCTTTTTTACAACGCGAAATTGTTTCGGAAATAATGTAACATCTGGCATGAAAATTCCCTGTACAAGATAATTCTCGATTTCATTGAAGATAATCTTGAATTATCTCTTATATGAAATATTTGTTAATAATTTTTCCAAAATCGTTAAGCCTTTCTATCGATTTCATTGTTAGTTTGTAGAATGACGATAGCGTATGGAACGGATTTAGTAGGATTATTTAATTTTTATATATATATATATATAAAAGTGGGATTCTGGTTATCTCTATCATTTTTTTTTTAATTTTTTTTTTTTTTTTTTTTTATTTTTTATCTTACAGGATGATATTTAACGTATTAGATTGTAAATTATTTAGTAGATAATTTCTACATATTAAAGGTCAAAAATTTCTAAGTGAGATTCTTTTTTTTTTTTTTTTCTTCGACACACTTTTTAGGCTAATTTTTTTATTCAAACAGCACGACAATTACAATCTCTTGAGAACTTTTGGCGTGTCCTATATTTTTAATTAGACATTTTACTGTAAATTAGGCTATTAGTATACATTTTTCTTTTTATGAGAAATGATTTTAAAAAGAGAGAAGCCATAATTTTAAATACGACGGAAATAATCGATTAGGGAACAACAGAATAGTTTAAGGATTGGGGACACTGTAAAGAGAAAATGTACGTCTAACGATCGTGGGGTGCTTGCTCTTTCTTATTAACTTAAATCGGATCAGAGAAAAGATTTTCGCTTTTATGTGTTTAGAGAAAGAGAGAGAAAGAGAGAGAGAAAGAGAGAAGGACGATTTTTATCGTAAGACCAAATCGATCATTTAGTCTTTTAATTTTTTGTTACTTCGAACAAATGCGTGAAACTTCTTTTTTTTCTGTCTCTCTTTTTTTCTCAAAATCTTTTACATTGTTCGATTATTTCACGAACACGTAAAAGATATAAATATTATATAAAATTCATTATGAATTAATATATTCGTTTGAAAGCGTTTAGAAACGAAAATCAACTAATACTATCGTATATTTAATATCAAGGTAATGCCATTCGCATATATATATATATAAAAACACATACGAGCGTAATTGAAATATTTCATTCGATTATGTAACATTTGTCATATTTATTTATCATATTTTCATTCTTTGAACGCATGCCAACCGCAATACTAACAACTGGAAGCGTGGACTTCCGTTCTTGTCTAGGGTAAGTTACCGTAACTTTAATTATCATTTTAAATTCGTGTCCCGTTAATGATAATAACACTTTTTATTAGGACGTATATTATTTAATTATAGACCTATATATCACGATCGTGTTTGTAATCGAGTTATAATCTAAGATGACTACCATGCATGGTATTTTATCGGTAAAAGTGATTAAGTCATCGTTTCGTATAACTATTCCGCGAATGGAATGACATTCCCGATTTGACAACTAAAAAGGAAAAGATTCAGTTAGATTTATCGTAAAATTGTATTACGTTAAGATGTAGATAGAGGTTCTGCCTGTTATTGTCAATTTAAAGTATTACTTATATCCTGTCTTTTTTTTTTTTTTTGTCTTTTTTTTTTTCCTTAATCTTTTTCTTTTTCTTTTTTTAGATATACTTTTTTCTTTTATACAACAAACGATACTTTCAATTATTTTCGTATAATAAAAGGCACCTCGTGCAAAAGTTTATATATGTTTTTTCATTTATTTCATAAAATTTTCAAACGATCAGTATATAAATATGTACATACGTGCATATATTAGTTTAACCATTTATATAAAATAGAAATGCAAGATTCTATTTAGCTGTAAAATTAACGTTTCACTCATGACAGACAGTAGAGATTATTAGGAATACAATGGGAAGGAGTTTTCCCAATGACATAATCTTTTCCCACGCGTCTCTCCCATTTATTATTTATGAAAATCATACTATAGAAAACACATATCTACGTTAGGACATATCCGTAGCTAATTCGATATACATATATATATATGTATGTATGTATATGCATATATATATATATATGGGTACATCGAGTTTTTTACTTATTCACTTTCCCTCCCTCCTTCCATGCCAATCTTGGACGATATTTTATTTGATAATGAATAATTAATTATAATTGTCTATTACGTTTGTTACGAATAAGACGGGATAATAGCTAGTTAATGATATTTGTCAAGTCAGACTTGATACATAGATGAATTAATAATTAAATCAAATATCGTCCAACACTCTTTCGCGAATGATTATTTCTTGTTTTTTTTTTCTTTTTCTTTTTTCTTTTTCCTTTTTTTTTCTTTTTCTTCTTAACTCCCCCTCACCCCTATATATACAATGCTACTTTGTTCCGGTATGTCGAAAAGAAAAACAAACAAAATAAAAAAAATGTTAATGCAAGACAAATGACAAAATATTGATAAATAATTTCAGGTGGTACCGTGCGGTCTTCGAAAGATCTTCCACGTAAGAATGGCAATTGGAATTTTTTGTTCTTTGATATAAATATTAAATGATATAATTAATTCATTAATTGCGAGCTCCCACAATATTTTACATCCAAAGGGCGCCAAGATCGAAATCCTTTGGTAGAGTCGATTATTTCGTAACATCTTTTTTTTTTTTCCTCTCTTTTCTTTTCTTTTCTTTTCTTTTCTTTTCTTTTCTTTTCTTTTCTTTTCTTTTCTTCCCTTCTATCATTTTTCTATTTTAAAGCGTGTTCGCATATTTTTTGCAACGATCACACGATTCGCGGAAGAACTAATTACACTAACCAAGGAAAGCTACCTATCTTTTATAACGGTTGGAAGACTTTGATCATTGTTTACTAGTGTTAAATCTTCTTTTGCTTTTTTTTTTTTCTCTCTCCCCTTTTTGTGTGCGCCATATAACTCGATTTCTTTAGTCATTTCCGTAACTTATCGTGTTTTATTGCTCTGTATATTATTATCATTTTTTTTTTTCATTTTTTTACGTCGAGTTAACAGCGTCAAAATGAAATGAATTTAGAATATCGACGTATATTAGCCTCGTCAATGTTAGACTAATGGTTATGACTGTGATAAAGGAAAAAAGAAAAAAAAAATAATAATAATAAAAAATGTAATAAAAATGTCGAAATGAAGAGGGAAAAAGAAGGATCGATATCTTGGCGCACGTGTTTGTCGGAAAACATGTGTTGATCATGTAAAAGGACGAGGTGTATTTTAAATAGCTTTTTTTTTTCTTTTTCTTTTTTTTTTCTTTCTCTTCCTTTCTTTTTTTCTTTTTACGCGGCACATTT